TCAAAGAATCTTCACCAACCCACCAGGGCACTGATTGCAGTGAGTTTTTTTTTTTCTTTCCGGAGAGGTTTTCGCTATAGGGCGCGTGCGCTCGCCAGACAGACAGAGAGAGAAATAGAGATAGAAAGCGAGAAATCACCCCCCAGGGGGGATGGCCACACCGCAATCCCTTCTCCTCCATTCTCCTCTCAGGATCTTGGGCACGCATGCACACGTGCCCGGCGCGAGTTTAAGCCACCGGGTCCGGGACATGAACCACGGTCGACTACGTGGGAGTCCAGCAACATAGCCATTACGCTAACTGCTGGTCCCCAGGGCAGTGATTTTACCTTTGCCTTTCTGTACCTTTCAAAAACATCATGCCTTCTCAGTGTGGATCCAGCTTCCTTGTAAACGACATGGACAATAGAGAAGGCTTCCAAACAAAACTAAGTGCTCTAAGGATAGGGTCTTCTAATAAGGAAAACAATCCCCAGTGTCATAGTGTTGGTTCGTGGCAGACTGACTACATCTGGGAGCAGGTGGAGTTGGTGCATGCTTACCTGGGCTGTCAATCTAGGACAGTGTCAGCTTTGCAGGGTGGGAGGCAGGGTGGTGGGTGGAAGGAGGTGTTTTTTGACTTATGCTGGGACACCTTCGCAAAAGTGGATGTTTGTCACTTGTGGCGGCTGACTCCCCTGCTGGCTGCATGAAGCTTCACTCATGTCATCTGTGCATGATGGTCTAGTCCTTTGAGAGGGCAGGCATTGAGCTTTTGCGTTGATGTCAGATGTACCCATGAAACAGCCGTTAGGGTTATTTTTTCTTCACTCCTTGTGTGTCTTAATGAGATGATATGGCAGAGCTCTCATATATCAATGGAAAAGCAATTTTGATGAACATGTAATTTTATTTAGGTATTTCCTTTTTTAAATTTAAAATATTCATATACATGAGTGTATTTTTGTTTCTGGAAGAAATGCTTCAAATAACAATAAGTATTGAGTTAATCATTTATACATATATATGATATATACATATATATATGTTTATGTATGTATATTCATCTGTTCTGTCTGTCTGTTTGACTATATAAATGTTATAAATGGAGGTGGCTTAGGTGGATGAAGTACATGGAATTTACTACCTGTCCTGTTTCTGCTAAGAAGGAAGGACCTGGGGATGGACTTTCAATGTGACAATGAAATCGATTAATTCAAATGACAGCAGATCCTCTTTGTATTTTTTGCTGCTTGATTATGTGGGGCTGTTGAAGATCTGTACTGAGAACCAGGACATGGTGGATCAGGACCAGGGCCTTGTCCTCTGTCAGGGTCTGAAACCAGAGCCAGCAGAGTTGAGATGCATAGAAGCTCTTCCTAGGACATGAGAATCATCCAACAGAAGCCACTGCCAAACCAGCTTGGTGTTGGGGCCAGAGGGTGGGAATCTCTCAGGATGGGCTGGCTATTCCTGAGGATGCTGATAGCATCTGAGCAAGACAGCCTGAGACCAGGTGAGAGGAGAAGAGCAATGAGGAAATAGAAAAAGTGGGTAATCATGGAGGAGCTGTGGGCAGCCTTGGGAGGTTAGGGCTGCTCACTGCTCAGATCCTCTTGCTACAACTCCAGCTTAGAGAGCCAAAGAACCCAGAGTCAGAGCTGGTGCTCTGGTGGAAAACTGAAGGATACTCTGGAGTCTGGCTTCCCAGAAAGGACAGGCAACCTAATATCAGTGACTTTGCTCCTGAGACCCCACCCTGAAGGCTAACCAGGGTTTTTAGTGAGTGTCAGTGACCACCAGAGCTGAGCCCAGAGAGGAGCAGCACCTGAAAGATGTCCACAAACAGAAGAGTGGATTGAAAAAGTGTGACACATATACTCCATGGAATATTATTCAGCTATAAAAAACAACAAGGCCCTGGAATTTGATAGAAAGTGGACAAATATGGAAGATCTATTGCTGAGTGAAGCAAGTCAGGCTATGAAAGAGAGACATTGTCTGTCTCCACTTAAAATATACGGACTGTCCACACTCTGTGGTGGAGACTGAAAGTCTGGAGAACATGAAAGCATTAAAAATTGTCATGGACAATAGAGACAAAGTGGAAGGAAAATGTGGGAGGGGAAGAACGAAGGAAGGGAAAGTTGGGGAAAAATATAGAGAGAAGACATTTGTGGGACACAGACATGGTTTATTATCTGCTGATGAGGATGTGTATAGTATTATCAACTGGATTGAACTGAGGTGTATAGCATGCTGGGGAAAGTCCCTTTAAAATCTAAATGATGCATAGCAATTGAATGTGTAAATAATAATAACAGTAAAGAACAAAAGACAAATGTCAACAACAACAAAAAAGAGCATGCGTTCAGGAGATAGGCTGTCTGGATTTGCATCCTGGCTTTCCTGTTCACTTGCAGAATGACTTTAGAAATTTAACTTGACTGCCTTGGCCTCATGGGCCTTACCCATAAAATGGAGCTATATTAGTACAAATAACTTGCAGAGCCACTATTCCTATTGCTCTTGTTTCCAGTAATGGGCCTTTTGAATTGGATGAATAAAAATTTGAACCATTAAAAAAAAAAAAGAAGTTGCCCATTAGCTTGAGATCAGAGTGGTAGTCGGGAGCAGCAGTTGGCATAAGGGACCAGCAGTTGGCATAATGGCTATGTCGCTGAATTATCATTTAATAGGCCGTGGCTCAAGTCCTGGACCTGGTGGCTTAAACTCATGCTGGGCACATGTGCATGAGTGCCCAAGATTCCTAGAGGAGAATGGAGGAGAAAGGATTGTGGTGTGGCCATCCCCCCCTGGGGGGGGTGGTGATTTCTTGCTTTCTGTCTCTTTCTGGTGAGTGCGTGCACCCTATAGCAAAAACCTCTCCAAAATAAATAAATAAATAAAATCAGAGTGGTAGGGCATGGGTCCAGGTTCCCAGCTCTCTTGGAGAAGGAGGGAGTTGAGGGAGTAGGGGTATAGCCTGGGCTCAGGGTCTGAGCTGTGGAGGCTGCTGAACTCTGAGAGGGGCAAGGAGGGGTTGTTGCTGCTGCTACAGTAGCATAAGAAAACTTGCAATGAGTCATGGCTATTAGAGGCAAGCAATGTAGATTTATTTCTGCATAAGAAATGATCTTGTTCAGTCATCAGGCTCTGAAAATCAATTTCTGGTAGACAGGATGGCGAATTATCTAGTTAAAATTTGGGATTAAAGGGACCACAGCCCAAGTGGGTCAGACTCACGTGTTCTCTAAGCTGGAAGGTGTAAGGGCAAGCTCTCATGAAGGAAGGCAGTTATCGATTTAGATTACTCTCTGCGAGGTCCACATTGGGTGGTTCACTTCACAGACTCCTCCTTGCTTCATGGCCCCTGCTCTGTCTTGCATAGTCTCCCCCATTCACATGTGCTCTCTACTCACTACATGAACCCTGCTCATATGACCCTCCTACCTGTTGCATGGCCACTGGTTCAGTGTGTAGCCCCCGCTCCCTGCATGCCTCCCCTATTTACCATGCCCCTTCTTCACTGCATGCTCCACCATTTGTTGCCACCCCCCCTTACAGCAGATATCCTCTTGAAGAAACTATCCAGATCACCATTGCTCATGGTGTCATCCAAACCCCTCCCAGCTACTCCGTTCAGCAGTGTTC